CCTTTCTGACTACATGGCCAGTACCAAGGGCGATACCATCCAGCCCAGACTTTTTATTTTCCTATCTGTTATAGAATGCTTTCAGGTTTTCTATGAAGGCTGCTTTGATGTTATCTTTTAGTACCAATGTGATTTTCATTTGGGCATACCCAAAAACACTTCCCTGATTTAATACTGCTTGTAGATAATTCTTGGATATCTGCACAACTGGTGAAGATTATTGGAGGAAAGTCGCTTTTTCTGGAGTAATATTTGCTTTTTGTTGTGTATATTGCGACTGCTGGTAACTACAGGTTATATGAATTTCACTGTATACGTCTAGTATTTCAAGAATGAAGAAAAAACTAATGATGGTCACTCCATCCCTAAGCACCATTATATTACTGGTCAGTTCTGCTACAACACTGTATTCTCCTATTCACTGGTATCACTAAATTATATGCGAGGTACACTAGCAGGCCAGGAAGATAATTAAAACAGCTGATCTGTGTGGTAGGTTTCTGGCGACTGCTGGCACCTGCCAGCAGGTAGAAAGTTGAAAGTGAACATAGAAAACAGTAAGGTGATGAGGGTATCAAATGATTTAGATAAAGAAAAATTGGATGTCAAATTGGGGAGGGGGAGTATGGAAGAAGTGAATGTTTTCAGATATTTGGGAGTTGACTTGTCGGCGGATGGATTTATGAAGGATGAGGTTAATCATAGAATTGATGAGGAAAAAAGGTGAGTGGTGCGTTGAGGTGTATGTGGAGACAAAAAGCGTAATCTATGGAGGCAAAGAAGGGAATGTATGAAAGTATAGTAGTAGCCAACACTCTTGGGTCTGACGCCATCCCTGCTGAAGTCTACAAAGAAGGCGGAATGGCACTGGTAGAGAAACTTCACCAACTCTTCCAGCTTGTATGGCAGCACGAGACAGTTCCTCCGGACTTTAAAGTTGCTTCCATCGTGCATCTCTACAAACGAAAAGGAAACCGCCAGGCATGCGACAACCACCGTGGTATCTCCCTGCTCTCCATCGCAGGCAAAACCCTGGCTAGAGTTCTACTCAATCGGCTCAACGAACATCTAGAGCAAGGACTCCTACCTGAAAGCCAGTGCGGCTTCCGGAAAGATCGCGGGACTATCGACATGGTGTTCGCTGCCAGACAGCTACAGGAGAAATGTCAGGAACAGAACGCCGACTTGTACTCCACCTATTTCGATCTGACCAAGGCCTTCGACACCGTTAGTAGAGAGGGCCTTTGGAGAATCATGGCAAAGTACGGCTGCCCAAAGACATTCATCGCCATCGTACTCCAACTTCACGATGGAATGCTGGCCAGAGTCCAAGACAACGGAGAGACGTCTAAACCATTCCCAGGCTCAAATGGAGTGAAACAAGGCTGCGTGCTTGCTCCCACCCTGTTCAGCCTGATGTCCTCGGCCATGCTTACAGACGCATTCAGGGACACAGACGCAGGAATCGGCATCAGGTACCGTACAGATGGGTCTGTCTTCAACCTCAGGAGGCTTCAAGCAAAAACCAAGGCTGCAACTGACACCATCAATGACCTGCTATTTGCTGATGACTGTGCCGTCAACGCTGCTTCAGAAGCCGCCATGCAGCACAGTGTTGACAAGTTCTCTGACGCCTGCAACAACTTCGGGCTGACAATCAGTACAACGAAGACTGAAGTGATGCACCAGCCTGCCCCGGGAAAGACGTATGTTGAGCCAAACATCACCATCAATGGGCAGCGACTGAACGCCGTAGACAAATTCACCTACCTCGGCAGTACCCTTTCCAGAAACGTTGTCATCGATGATGAGGTGAATGCCAGACTTGCCAAAGCCAGTGCCACCTTCGGCAGGCTCCACAAGAATGTATGGAACCGAAGAGGCATCACCACAAGCACCAAGATCAAGGTGTACAGAGCCATAGTCCTCACCACACTTCTCTATGGCTGCGAAACCTGGACTGTCTACAAACGTCACGCCAGAAAGTTGAACCACTTTCACACTACACGGCTCAGATGGCAAGATAAGATCCCAAACACAGAAATGCTGACTACAGCTGGCCTGCCTAGCATCTACACCATCCTAATGCAGACACAGCTTCGCTGGGCAGGTCACGTTGCTCGCATGCCAGACCACCGGCTGCCAAAGAAACTCTTGTTTGGCGAACTGCAGCATGGAAACCACTCTCAAGGAGGCCAAAAGAAGCGCTACAAGGACACCCTTAAGACTGCTCTGAAAGCTTTCAACATAACCACACCATGTGGGAGCTGATAGCTCAGGACAGGAATGACTGGCGAGTAGTTGTCCAGAAAGGAGCAACATCCTGCGAGGCAAGCAGAATCTCACTAGCTGAACAGCGCAGGCAGGCAAGGAAGACCAGAGCCATCAGACCCCTCGATGCCGCCACCCTTCCCTGTCCACACTGCCAGAGAATGTTTCATGCGCGGATTGGCCTGACAAGTCATCTGCATACCCACCAACTTCGACCCCAGGATGACTAGATGGTCCTCGTCGAATCGACGGACAAACAACAAACACCAACACTCTTATGGGTGTGAAGCTTGGGTTGTAAATGCTGCAGCGAGGAGGCGGTTGGAGGCAGTGGAGATGTCCTGTCTAAGGGCAATGTGTGGTGTAAATATTATGCAGAAAATTCGAAGTGTGGAAATTAGGAGAAAGTGTGGAGTTAATAAAAGTATTAGTCAGGGCTGAAGTGGGGTTGTTGAGGTGGTTTGGTCATTTAGAGAGAATGGATCAAAGTAGAATGACATGGAGAGCGTATAAATCTGTAGGGGAAGGAAGGCGGGGTAGGGGTCTTCCTCGAAAAGGATGGAAGGAAGGGGTAAAGGTGGTTTTGTGGGCGAGGGGTTTGGACTAACAGAAAGCGTGCGTGAGTGTGTTCGATAGGAGTGAATGGAGACAAATGGTATTTGGGACCTGACGATCTGTTGCAGTGTGAGCAGGGTAATATTTAGTGAAGGGATTCAGGGAAACCGGTTATTTTTATATAGCTGGACTTGAGTCCTGGAAATGGGAAGTACAGTGCAGTGCCTGCACTCTAAAGGAGGGGTTTGGGATATTGGTGGTTTGGAGGGATATGTTGCGTATCTTTATACGTATATGCTTCTAAACTGTTGTATTCTGGCCACCTCTGCAAAAACAGTGATTATGTGTGAGTGAGGTGAAAGTGTTGAATGATGATGAAAGTGTTTTCTATTTGAGGATTTTCTTTCTTATTGGGTCACCCTGCCTCGTTGGGAGACGGCCGAATTGTTAAAAAAAAAAAAAAAAAAAGACTGCAGTAACAGTCTACACCACCTAAGTAGCTTACACAGGTGTTTACGGTTTGAAACCAATCAGATGGGTCTTTCTCAGGTTATCACATGGCAACTAAAATCAGGAATGGCTTCATAAAACTGACACTAGGGCACTTTCCTTCCCAATAGTTGCATGAACATTCCTTTAATTATGGTTCACTAGCATTGAAAATTTGAAGCTTGTCATACAAGTTGTTGTGAAGGTATAAAGAAAAACCTCTAAGGAAGAAAGAAAATAATCTGACAATAATTGTAGGTTTTCCCTCTCGGGGGCTAAATAGTTAGGAAAAGAGTGACGACATTCCTTTTGCTGTTTCCGAGTTTGGTCGGGTGGAAATTCATTATGGCTGCCCTCCTTAATCAAACTTTACAAGCTATTGTTTATATGCAGCCTCTCCTCAATTAACGACAGAGTTCCATTCCTAAGACCACATTAGTAAATAAATTCATCGCTAAGCAAGGAGCATACTATAATGGTAGTGGGTTTGTGTCGACCATCTTTGATATTGTTTTAATGTTACCTTTATGCCTTTTATAACATTTTTAGTACATTTTTAATTTTTTTTTTTTTTCAACAAGTCGGCCTGTCTCCCACCGAGGCAGGGTGACCCAAAAAAAGAAAGAAAATCCCCAAAAAGAAAATACATTCAACACTTTCACCACACTCACACAGTATCACTGCTTTTGCAGAGGTGCTCAGAATACAACAGTTTAGAAGCATATACGTATAAAAATACACAACATATCCCTCCAAACTGCCAATATCCCAAACCCCTCCTTTAAAGTGCAGGCATTGTGCTTCCCATTTCCAGGACTCAAGTCCGACTATATGAAAATAACCAGTTTCCCTGAATCCCTTCACTAAATATTACCCTGCTCACACTCCAACAGATCGTCAGGTCCCAAGTACCATTCGTCTCCATTCACTCCTATCTAACACGCTCATGCACGCTTGCTGGAAGTCCAAGCCCCTTGCCCACAAAACCTCCTTTACCCCCTCTTTCCAACCCTTTTGAGGACGACCCCTACCCCTCCTTCCTTCCCTATAGATTTATATGCTTTCCATGTCATTCTACTTTGATCCATTCTCTCTAAATGACCAAACCACCTCAACAACCCCTCTTCTGCCCTCTGACTAATACTTTTATTAACTCCACACCTCCTAATTTCCACACTCCGAATTTTCTGCATAATATTTACACCACACATTGCCCTTAGACATTTTTAAATATTTATACAATAGTGTACTGTATATTGTAATGAACAGAATAGAGGTAATCAGCTCTAATATACATTATTTAGGTATGCATACCGGTCAGAGAGCCCGTCATAAGTCAGATTCGTCGGTAAATGAGTACATCACTAAGTGAGGAGAGGCTGTATGCACTGCATATCTTTCAGTTGGGGATGAGGTAAACCCAGTTATATTGCACTTTGGGAATGGAAGGCAGTCAAGTGTGACCCAAGGAAGAGGAGGTTAAATCTAGTTCCTTGGATGAAGAGCCTCTCATAAGAGGCAACTAAAATGCTGGGAGCAAAGGGCTAGTAACTCCTCCACCTGTGTAAATTACTAAATGTAAAAAGAAAATCTTTTGTTTCTTCCTTTTCGGGGTCACCGTGCCTCTGTGGGATATGCTGGTGTGTTACAAATATTTGTTTATTTATTTATTCATTCATTCCCAGAGAGTGTTGGTGGGTGCAGTGTTTATGCTGTAGTTTATGTGAGAGCCAGTGAAGTTGTAACAGCCAACATGCAGGGACACCTCAAGTTGTGGGACCTGCGATCAGCTCAGTCAGCAAGGGCCACACTCCTCAGTCCTGATCAGGTGATGTCATCTTCAACTTTTGCTTTCATAAGGCCTTTGCAACATGTGCACTATTTTCTAGATTTAGTAACTACATAAGATGGAGAGTGTTTTTATATATTTATAGAAATGTTGAAGTTTCCAAGATGAAGTATCAGATGGGCAATGCATAAATCAAAGCGTAATTTAAAAAATAAAGGAGGGCGGCTTTTCGTTTATATCATCTATAATAAGGCAAAAAACAATCATGATGCTCATTGAGTTTTTTTTTTTATCTGCTTATGCGCAGACCAAATTATATTTTGCTTCTTTCCCTTTCTCCTTGGACACTAGCAGAATTCACCAAGTACCTACACATGTAAAAAGAAGTTAAGACAACATTTCTGGTCCATCTGCTGTTGGAAGAGGTGTGGGATTAAAAGACAGTGAATCTGATATAAAATGGAAGTTGTCTTTTGGGAGATTCTGAAAAAAAAGTTGGTGGGAGATGGCCAGTGTGTTGAAAAAAAAAATGTAAAAAAAAAAAACAAAAATGTGAGCACGGAAAAGAGTAAAATAATGAAAGATGAGATATTAAATTGGAGACAGTATGGAGGAACTGAATGTATTCAGATGTTTGAGAATGAACATGTCGGTAGATAGTTCTTTAAAAGACGAGGTGAACCATGGAATATATTAGGGGTAAAAAGGTAGGCAGTGTGTTGAGGCAGCTGTGGAAAGAAAGAAATTTATCTTTGGATGCCAGAAAATGGAATGCACCAGAGTATACCAATACCAACACTTACATGGATGTGAAGTATGAGTTTTTAATGTTGCACTGAGGAGGGGGCTGGAGGCAGTGGAAATGAGTTTGATGGTAATGTGCTGTGAATATTATGCAGTGAATTCAGAGCATGGAAATTAGATGATGTGAGGTCACTAAAAGTATAATTCAGAGAGCTGAAGAGGGTTTGTTGAGATGGTTTGGGCATTTAGAGAAGATGGAGCCAAAATAGGATGATTAATATGGCATATTAATCTGGGGGAGAAAGAAGGAAGGGTTGGTGGGAGGAAGTAATAGAAGTTTTGAGTGCTAGGGGCTTGAACATCTGGCAGGATTTTGTGAGTGTTTTAGAATTGGAGACCAATGATTTTTATGATTTAATGTGTTGTTGGAGTGTGAGGAAAGTAACATTTATTGAGGGATTCAGGGAAACCAGTTAGCCAGATTTGAATCCTGAAATTGGGAAGCACAGTATATACATATGGGCAAGTGGGCCACCAGCAGTTGCCCAAAAAGCATTGCATAATTAGTGGCTTTCTTTTGTATGTACTATTGTCATAATTCACGTATAACTACTGCATTCCTTATATGGCTCGAGGAAATAAAATTATTATAATTATTAACAGCCTCATTGATCAGGCAGGCACCAGATGAGCCTGGCTTAAAGCCAGGCTTCAGGAGTAGAAAAACTCTCAAAATTCATCAAAGGTAAGATAAGGTGCCTGAACTATAGAGAAGGGGTGAGGATGTAGCAGTTTTAGAGGGTCATCTGAATTGTGATGTCGGCACACCTCTGACGAGACAGTGAATGAATGACTGATAGTGAATGTTTTTTTTTTTTTTTTTTTGGGGGGGGGGGGGAGAGGGGGGTGTAAAAAAAATATATATATATATTATTGTAACCATGAACGAGTGGTATTGATCAATAACAACATTGCGACTATCCAAGGACTTAAATTCATGCTGCTTTGGCCTGCCTCGTGGTGAGTGAAAACACATGACGCTCTAACCCACAGGACCATGCAATCCTACTATATATGGAGAGAGTGGTAAAGGAGGTTTTGTATGCAAGGGGCTTGGACTTAAATCAGGCATGTGTAAGCATGTTAGGAGTAGAGACAATTGGTTTTTCGGACTTGATGAGCTGTTAGTGTGTCAGCAGGGTAATATATTGTGAAGGGATTCAGGGAAACTGGTTAGCCAGACTTGAGTTCTGGAGGTGGGAAGTAAAATGCCTACACTTTAAAGGAGGGGTTTGGGATATTTGCTGTTGAGAGGAGACATCTAAACTGCTGTATCTGCATGCCTCTGGCAAGAATGATGATGAAAGTTTTTTTTTCGGGTCACCCTGCCTCAGTGGGAGATGGTCACTGTGTACTATACATATTTGCAATTTAGGATTGATTCGCAGATAACCTGCACATTATTAGAAGAAATTTGCGGTGAGTTTTTGGTTCTTCCTGGACTACTTAATTGTCCAGGATGGACTGAAAAATTGTCATAAGTTTCTTCTATTAAGTATGGGTTATTAGTGAATAATTCCAGCTGTAGTATAGTGACTTATAACAAATCTTATATTTAGGGTTGAATATTTTCCTTCCTGAAACTCTGTGTTTATCATAATTGTTTTAAATTATTGCTTACTGCCAGTTCTGCATTTCTAAATGTTGAGCAAGGAAGCCTATACAGTATTGTATGTGGAAGCTGGATTAATAGGGTTTGACTATTTTGTATGTTGATGCAACTGAAAACTTCTGCACAATACATTGATAACATTATTTGGATACTATTTGGCCTAGTAAGGAAACTATGACACTTGTTTAAAAGTATTGTACTCTACAGTACTATTAATGGCCTGTGATATCTGTGTACAGATAGCTGTGTGTGATCTTGCTAGCCATCCAACACAACAACATCTGGTGGCTGCAGGAGGAGAGGATGGAGCTCTGGCCATATGGGATATGCGTAATACCAGCCAGCCCTTCACTATCATATCTGCTCACAGTGGACCAAGTAAGAGTTTCTTTTACCCATTGAGCATTAGTTAACTCTAGTCATTTTATTCCAGGAATATAATTTGCACTGTATCTTTTAGAATAGTGTGACATTTTATTGTGGCAATGATTTGCTCTCCAGCTTTGTCAGGCTGTTATGGCTTGACAAAGAAATTGACTGGCATTGTGAATGATTAAAAGTTCATATGATCTCTGGTATATCTTTCAGTTAGTGAAGTAAGATTCCACCCTGGAGCCCCAGAGCATGTGTTTACCTGTGGACTAGATGGCCAACTGATTCACTGGGATGCTTCTGCCTCTGCCAGACCTACACACATACCATCCTTCAAGAATACCAGAGACCCATCAGGTAAGACAACTGAGCTGAAGGCATTTCAGTGATGTTGAAAAAAATATCTTTAAAAATAATAGGATTAAGTATATAGTTGAATGATTAGACATACATATCGACTGATTTGTTTAGCTTTGGTTCTATAGTTAGTGACCACACACATTTGTCTAATTTATTTTGAAATTTTTTCAAAGTATTTCCAGTGTAAACTCATGCTCACAGGTAAAATACATAGGTAATGTGTTTGTAGCAGCATTGTTTAGATGAGGTAATGTAAACACACTTAGCAAAAATAATCATGTTGAGGATGCAAGTACATTGACAAGTCACAAATGAAACCCAAATGTGAAGGAGAATGAAACACATCCCTATCGAGAAATACATATACAACAGTAGGTAACAGTCTCCTTGGATTTAGGAAAAGAGATGTAGGTTCCTTGATGCTCCTGAGGGGCTCTTGATCTAAGCAATGAGACCTGTGCACCCCTTGCTTGTATTGACTCTGAATGCCTTGCATTCCCTCAGGTGCTGTAAGACTCTGTGTTTAGCACTCCTCATGAATGTAGTTATTTAATTAGTAAAAGCTTTTTTTATTATATCTAGGGGAAGGACTGAACCCATGTGTGTCGTGCATTGCTTGGCAATTAGGTTAGATTCAAGGAAGGGAATTACTATCATTGCATTTTTGGAGGTGTGCTAAACCTGTCACTCATACAGTGCCTGGGAGGTTTGATCCAAGTAAGGGAAGAGCAGGCCCATTTCTTTGATCAAGAGGCCCTCACCAGCATCAAGGAAATCTCACATTAAAGGCAGTAAGAGCTGAAGTAGGGTAGATTTATTATCAGTGTATACCTATGTACACATCATTACTACAGTAGTGTGATGTTTACAGGAGGAAGCATCAATGTGTGGTTAAGTAGTGATGTGGCTAGAGGAGCCATTGAGACAGTCAGCGTGATCCCTTATTCACCACTACCCATCAACTCTGTCGATGTGGAGGGTTCCACTCTGATTGCCGGCTCTGACAACGAAGCCATTTACATGGTTCGCCAAGTTCTTCTATACTAAAAAAATAATTATGCTGGTAAGACATGTTCCATTTGATCAGTGCTTTGTTTCATTCAATTAAACATTTGTCTTTTATTTGAGATTATATATATCCACAAGATAATATGGCAAATTTTGTCACAAGACACTTGGCTCTCCAGTTTTGTACCTCTACTGAATTAGACCATTTTAGCGCTTTCCTATAAATAATACTAATACTGCCTATTAAAAGAAATAGACAAATGAGACAAGTGACTGAATTTAGCTTGCCTTAATACTTTAGGGCTAACATATATACTTCATGTTATAAATCTCAGTTAGGTAATAGGAGTCCAGGGGTTATATTGCATCATTAGTATGGCCTCACTTGTATTATGCTGCTCAGCTCTGGTCTCCATGCTACAGAATGGATGTAAATTTATTGGAAGACAGAGAAGTGACTAAATTAATCCACTACACAACAAATCTTTCATATAGATTGAGAACTCTTAGACTACATTTTCTTGTAAGACAGAATGAGGGGAGACATGATTGAAGTGTTTGTTTATACCCATCGTCCTCTTAAAAGGCAGTTATAATTAAGGTTCTTAGGGCATTACTCTAAGAACTGTAAATAATTGACTCGTGTTAGAAAAGTCTGTGTTTAGAAATTATGTAGGAAAGTACTGGTTTGGAAACATTAGTCAAGTGAAATCTGCCTAATAATACTAAAAAAATTAGAACTAAGTACTAAACCCACAAGGGTCATACAGCACTGCAGGGTAGGATGTACTAAAATGTACTATGCCAGATCAGAAATGGCCTGCTTAGTAGGGTCATTGAAACAAAAACCTTGGGTAGTTTTAAATATAGGTCGGATGAACACAAATGAAAAGGGGCTGGATTTGAGTGGAACTTGTACAAGTTAGTAGGATTTATTTTTATTTTATTATCACACTGGCCGATTCCCACCAAGGCAGGGTGGCCCGAAAAAGAAAAACTTTCACCATCATTCACTCCATCACTGTCTTGCCAGAAGGGTGCTTTACACTACAGTTTTTAAACTGCAACATTAACACCCCTCCTTCAGAGTGCAGGCACTGTACTTCCCATCTCCAGGACTCAAGTGGGAAGTACAGTGCCTGCACTCTGAAGGAGGGGTGTTAATGTTGCAGTTTAAAAACTGTAGTGTAAAGCACCCTTCTGGCAAGACAGTGATGGAGTGAATGATGGGGAAAGTTTTTCTTTTTCGGGCCACCCTGCCTTGGTGGGAATCGGCCAGTGTGATAATAAAATAAAAATAAATCCTACTAACTTGTACAAGTTCCACTCAAATCCAGCCCCTTTTCATTTGTGTTTATCCGACCTATATTTAAAACTACCCAAGGTTTTTGTTTTTGTTAGTAGGATTATCAGAGCTTATTTCCTGGGTAGCCTTGAGAATGGGCTAGAAGAATGTCTTGTTGGAGGACTTAGGTTTGAAAAGGACCTGCCTAGTATGGACCAGTAGGCCTGCTACAGTGTTCCTCCATTCATATGGTATGTTCTAGTATTTGCCTCATGATGCCCCTCTTCATCCATTTAATTCCAGCTACACTTTCTCTTGCATTTCCTTGGCACCGTGCAACTCTTATGGGTTTAGTATGTTACAATGAATCATGTTATCTCGCCCCTCAAGAGTGAGGGGCTTTTGATCCAAGAAACTGGACCTGTCCTCCCCTCGGTCTGAACCTGAATTCCTCTCGTTCCCCAGGTGCTCTTCCACCTCCCCCACACCCCCATTGAAATAAATATCTGTACTTGATAATTATAAAAATAATTTTTAAAATCAAATAAGTGCCTTTATTAAACTCCCCCCCAGCTGCATGGACAGTACAGTACAGTATTTTCATAAACAGGAAAAGGATAAGTAAAAGTAGTAATTTAATTTTAAGTAATTTATTCTTTTTAAATTTAAGCTGACATTCACAATATTATGAAAAAGTAAAATACAGCTTAATCACATGATACTTCATGTACACACACACAGTGTATAGTAATATTTTATTTTAAATTGTACGGTTGGTGCCCCAGAAATTAGATATGTAAATGGGACAGCTCTTGTTCATACTTCAACAGAATTAAGACTTTCCCAATAAAAGTTAGTAATTTTCCAAATGTCAAAAGAATTCTTAGATACAATACTATAATCTTGAATGCATAGTCAGAAATAAGTTCAATTTTGAGAGATGTACAGTACTGTATACTGCATTAGTGTTGGAATAATCTATTTATTTTGCCATATTTGCACCAATGTAATTCCTTGCAACAGTTAATGTTTAATTAATCTGCAGCCTCAGACCAACCTTGTCCACTTACTGTACTGTTGTATAAAACAAATATAGCACATTGCACAAATTTAAACCAGTCCAATTTCTTTCATGCTTTCCAGTGGGTTACTCAAGCAGCAATATTATGTTTAAATGGTAGAGTGCCCTTTTTGTTATGTATATATCTAATTGATGGCCTACATAACCCTCCTGACACTGCAGCAAACTATCATTATAGTCTATACTATATTCTCAGTAGTGAGAAAATTTTAATTATATTATTTGCATCTTGCATACAAAGCTGTAGAACTCTTTGGTTATTCAGTGCTTTGAACATATTTAGTTTAATATTAATCAAATTTACACTTGTTAACTTGCTGTGTCAATAAATTTTGACAGGGGCAAAAGAGCCTGGGTTCTTAGGCAAGCACCCAGTGGAAAGAGTGGCATCCCTTGCAGGGAAGAAAAGGCTCCAACCCCTCAACATAAATCACTTTCACTCCACTGCATTAGGGTGAATGTTAGGAAGAGGGAAGGTCCTCTTGGTTTATAACAAGTTCATCTTGTGTTGGAAACACATTAGTAGTCTTCATTGTCTGTCATAACTAGATAAATTTTTTTTTTTATCAGGAACATTAGCTTCATGCTGGAAATAGTCATATACAGTGCAGTCATTAATAAAGGCATGTAAAAATAATTACAGTATCAAAAATTAATAAATTTTAAGCTGTAAGATTACAGAAACTTGATGAATTTAATATATTTGATTGATTCCCTTCAAGGGAGGTTCCTTGATGCTGGCAAGGGGCTCTTGATCTAGGGAATTGGATCTGTGCTTCAGTTCCCTGAATGCCTTCCATCCCCCTCCTCCCCAGGTGTTGTATAATCCTACAGGTTTAGCACTCCATGATTATAATTCTAATAATATACAGTGGACCCCCACCTTACGATCAGCTCCCAACTCGAACAATTATGTAAGTGTATTTTTGTAAATGCTTTTGTACGTGTAGTTTTGGGGGTCTGAAACGGACTAATCTAATTTACAATATTCCTGATGGGAGCAAATTCGTTCAGTAACGGCACCCGAACAGACTTCTGGAATGAATTAATATCGTAAGGCAGGGGTCCACTGTATTCGATTTTTTCATTATACACTACTATTTCCAACAATTCAGTCAATAACTATTATATTAACAGAGGAAGTGCTGAGCCCCTCTGGGTCCAATTTGAAATACATAGTGCCAGAACATTCTAAATATTAACTTAAAAATGTGCTAGTTTGATGTGAAGCAGAGCTGACACTTGTAGTCTGCAATACAAGCTTCAATATCAGAGTCAAATGGGAGATCCTGTTTTAAGTCTTAATTCGTTCTGAAACTTAAGAGCCGAAATGTCTTGCTAACTACTTCAGAACATAACAGAAGTAAAATGTTTATTTTTCTAGTTGTGGTATGCTCAACAGAATTACAAATACAAAACTATTTCTAAAGCACAAATGCATTGTCAAACTGTTTTGAAAGCCCTTGTAATCCAGTCTTATCTTTACTGAATCTGTGAGTAAGACATGTTACACATCTTGCTCATCTACTTGTCAATATTGTATTCCCTTGTTAAAATTTTTCCTGAATCTTATCACTTCTTTTCAAGATCTGTTAAGCAAATTTTACCCTAGATTTAATCTTTATATAGTACAAGATGGTGGAAGCTAATAAATACTTTTATTTTATACATCAGAAAATCAAAATTTTATTGATTTATAACAAATTACAGATCTTACACAATGTCAAAAAATAAAAATCAAATATGGCAGAGCACTCCAAATCAGTTATGCCTCTTCACCTCACTGATGAGTATAATTTTGCCTTGGCCAGAATATTCATTGCATGAAATACTATTTCAATGATGCAGATTGAATTATTACCAACTGGGCATCAATAAAAGAAAGTACTTGACAGACACAATACACAGGTACGAAAAGATTTTTGTTTCACAAATAGTGTAGAATACCGTATCAAGTAAATAGCTGAGGTCTATTAAGTTACTTGGCTAGGATAGTTGTGCAGCTTGAGCTGGTAATACATGGTTGACTTCTTCCTCATAAACTAACGACAAAATTACTTTATGCAATAATTAGAGTAAAACTTATTTTAGCTTTAATGTTTGTGGTAATTACCTTAATTAAGATTTAAATTAGAATTCTTTATTTTACTAAGGTTTAACTGGTGCAACACATGAATATAGAGCAGTTTTGGAGTACTACTCATGAGGGTATTAAGCAATTTAATCTGATGCCCAGCATTTCCTCCAAGTGAATTATACTGATTCAGAGGCTTTGCTGCATTTTTATTAGAGATTTATCTAGAATGTATATTTTAAGGTACTGTGTAGAAAACAAAATAGATAACAATAAAATATAGATTAACAACTACAAACAACTGGTCCCATTTCACAGATCAAAGCTCAAATTGTAAATGGCATTTAGCTACCAATTATATCTGACCCACCTCCAAAAATAAGGTACCATAGTCATGGTGCTCTATATGAATTTCTAAAGACAGCAGTTGAAGGGATCAGCCACTCCTCAATGGCTTGCAATAATACAACCCATGAAGTAATAAACCTCTATTAAATAGCAAAATTGCCTCTCATGCTTGACGGTAATGAGCACATTTTAAGACATTGCGGCGCTGTATGACCCTTGTAGGTTTAGCGCTTTTTTTATAATAATAATAAAGACATTGCCTTTCAAGGGGTAATGCCTTAAAAGGGCTCTTGATCCAAGGAATTGAACCTACCCTTCAAATCTGATTGCCTCCCATTCCCCAGGCACTATATGTATGGCCTTCATGGATTTTAGATATATCCCATGAATTTGGTAGTACAAGGCATTACCAAAATTTGGTATGAAGAAATATCACAATTACTAGTGTATTAAAAAAAAACAGTGGCTTCATCTTCACACACACAGTTTTATATCCCTGTCAGTTAAGTAGTCTGTGTTAAAGTCAATTATGTCAAATAATGCACTACAAAATCACAGTTTAGTACTTCACCATACCCAAAGTTGCTAATTTTCATTACTATTATATCACTGTCATTCTTTCCTTGACAAATTTTAACCTATAGTCACTGTCTTTCTTAGCTCTTTTGCTGCACCATGATTTATTTTCATAATGTTTCAGTTCTTAAATTATCACCTGAAGATGTTGCATTATCACATCCCACATCTTGTTTATCTTCCAACATCACTTCTGTTGATGCATCATTCTTATGCTGTTCAAAATATGCCTGAAATTAAATAATTATTGTGCAGTTCACACTCTTAATCAGGGCATTAAAATTATAGACAGTTCTGAATGCCCAATATGTAATAGAACTGACACCCCTTTAGCTGTCTCCCATCAATAAACAATGGAGGGGGGATGTTAAGCACACAATCACCACCATTAATTCCATAGCTGTCTTTCTAGAAGTGTGTGCATACATCACAATTCAGACAACCCTTGTGAACAGTGACATTTCTTCAGAATGCAGACACTATTTTCCACCTCCAGGGCTAATTCCACCTGGTTTGCCCGAATCTTCACAAATGTTCCCTTATTCACAATCCAGCAGCATTTTAAAAATCCACTTTACTGAAATTACTCCTGTCTAATTAGCTCAAACACTTCAAACCTCTTTCACCCCTGCCCTCCATTCCTCTCAGGAATGGCTGTAGTCCTACCTCTCCATTTCAGACTAATACACACTTTTTATGCCATCTTTTATAATTAGCCAAATAACTTCACCCACCCATCCCTCCAAATTATACCTTCATAACCCCACATTGACTTCTGATTTCTACACCAATTCTTTGCATAATATTCACACCACAGTGCCCTCTAACATGACATCCCTACTGCCTCCAGCCTCCTACACACTGCAGCATTTTAGACCATGCCCCCACACCTATATAAAAAAAAAATATTAATACCACTATACTCTGGTACATTATCTTCCCCCCCTCCCTTGCCTTCATAAACAAACTACCTTGGTGGGAGACTGCATAAGTGTTAAAAAAAAATTACTGCACAGGATAGATAGTAAACAACACATTACTCACTTTTTCTGCAATCTGGCGTAGCTGTTCTGCTGCCGCTTTACCCGTCTGCTGAACTAATGAAGCAAACAACGAATTTTCAGTTTTCAATAAGACGTGTGGTTCGTCAAACTCCTGAAGGAATATAAGCAAATTACAATAACTGGATACAATTTGTGAGACTTAGACTTGTAAAAATAAGGACATAAGAAATTTGTTTATAATCTTTTAAGGATTAAACTGTATCAACCAGTTCTTTAAATACAGTAATACAACTGATTTCCCCTAGATTATAATAATAATACAATTTATACTGGTACATGAAAAATAGTCATCCAAGCCTTAATGTACATTAAATTGATTTTTTTCAAACTTGCTATAACAGCCACCAATTTGAAAATGAAAATCAATGCTAAATTCAACATTTTTAACAGATGTGGAACTTGCCTCAACTCTACCAGCTTGAAGCACCATCACTCGATCACTGTCCATGATTGTGTGCAAGCGATGAGCAATTGTGAGCACAGTGCAGTCTTTAAACTTTGATCTAATTGTCTGTTGAATTAATCCATCAGTTCTGGAAGGAAATAAATGCATATTAAAATTTACAGAGAGTATTTCAATAATAGTACTATAGATAAAGAAAAAGGAAACAGTCATCACATAAGAGTACATAAATAGTGCTGTAATGTGATTGTAAATATTAATAACCTAGGTAGTAGGTTGGTAGACAGCAACTGCCCAGGGAGGTACTACCGTCCTGCAAAGTGAATATAAAATGAAAGCCTGTAATTGTTTTACATAATGGTAGGATTTCTGGTGTCTTTATTCTGTCTCAAACATGCAAGAGTGCAGGTACATCTTGCTATTTCTACTTACACTTTGTACATACATGTGTAGTGTGACCAAACATATATACACACCCCTCTGGGTTTTCTTCTATTTTCTTACTAGTTCTTGTTCTTGTTTATTTCCTCTTATCTCCATGGGGAAGGGGAACAGAATTCTTCCTCTGTAAGCCGTGCGTTTTGTAAGAGGCGACTAAAATGCTGGGAGCAAGGGGCTAGTAACCCTTTCTCCTGTATATGCAGTGGTACCTCGGGATACGAACAGCTCAAAATGCGAACAATTATGTAAGTGTATTTATGTAAGTGCTTTTGTAAGTATATGTTTGGGGGTCAAACGGATTAATCTAATTTACATTATTCCTTCTGGGAATAAATTCGTTCGGTATCAGCACTCGAACAGCCTTCTGGAGCAAATTAAATTCGTATCCCAAAGTACCACTATTACTAAATTTAAATAGAAAAAACTTTTTTTTCCTTTTGGGCCACCCTGCCTTGATGGGATATGGCCGGTTTGTTGAAAGAAAAGAGGAAATATTAAAAACAAAAAAGGGGTTAAGAACAGAGCCTTGCAGAACATGTAACACAAGCATTAAAGAAAACCAAACTATTTGAAACAAAGGCAATGATGTTATAAAGAAATGAAATTCATTTTCCTAAAGTGGAAAGCAGAAGGATGTAAATTAAAAGGACTCTAGCTTAAGTCCCTTCACTGCAGTGAAGGGACTTGAGCTAGAGTTCGTCACGGCCACGCTAGCTGGAGATTCGTCTGTAAAAACTTGCATTTGTGGTCACAGAGGTGCCTGTGCTAACCTTCCTATGGTGTAGAAATATACCTAGTTGGATGAATCTTATTGTGGCTAGCTGGTCTAGTGGCTAACGCGACGGGCTGGAGTTTTGAGACTATGACCGCGGGTTCAATCCCGGCCGGGGGTATGGTTTACAAAGCATAGTGTTTACTTAAGGTTCCTTATTCTAGAGCCTGACCCTGTGCACTGTTAGCTAAGCCTAATCAACCCCAGCCCATGCCACATACAGAAAAAGAGGGTGCGATACATCAAACCCAAACAATCTCAAAACATGATCCCTTAGTCATTCTATCACACACAGATGTAAATAAATTTGGTGTATGACCCTAGTGGTTTTGCTCTTGGTTTTGATAATAATGTTTTCTTTGCAAATTCTTTAATTAAACTGTTCTGTAATGACTTGCTTTGCATCAAAACATTTGTGGATATGGACACCTAGAGGAGACACGTGTCACTCTGTTAAGGACTTATTTGAAGTCCATTAGACATAAACAACTGTAAAGTTGACCATACACACCTTGGATCGACATTGGCTGTTGCTTCATCAAGAACGAGAATTTTGTTGTGCCTTAGGATGGCACGAGCTAAACATACAAGCTGTCGTTGGCCAACACTGAGGTTACTGCCTCCTTCTGACATTTGTGCTTCAAGACCTCCCTCTAGATCTGACACAGCATCTTTAAGTTGAACCTATGCAAGTAAAATGCATTAATAGAAAACATGTGACAAGAATTTTTCTTCAAAAAAAAAAAAACAAAAAAAAAACAAAAAAAAAAAAGTCTTACTTTCTACTTATCCTAATCAATGAATCCAGTGGTAGTCAAGATTCATTCACATAATTTAATACATTTTGTATGAGCTATATATACCTAGTGTACTGCCTCAACTAATAAATTGGTCAAGCAAGAGGGGTAAGGGTCATTCTATGAAAGATTGGAGGGAGGGCATAAAGGATGTTTTGAGTACTAGGGGCTTGGCTGGCCAACAGGCTTGTGTGAGGAAATTAGGTAAGAGTGGAAGTAAGTTGTTTTTATGATGATGTGCTGTTGGAGTGTGAGCAAGGTAATATTTATGAAGGGATTCAGGGAAGTCAGTCAGCCAGATTAGTCATGGAGGTGGAAAGTACAGTGCTTGCATTCTAAAGGAAGGGTGGGGATGTTGCAGTTTGCAAGGTCATCTGAACTACAACATTGGCATCTTTCTGACAAGACAGTTATTGAATGAGAGTGAAATTATTTTTTCTGTGTCGGGTTACCCTACTTCAGTGGGAGATAGCTGGAATGTTAAAAGAAAATATTGCCGAGAACAGGTTTAAAAAACCTTAAACCTTTTACTGTACTTCCTCACTCAAGTTATTACTTGTGTGTGTATAAGTGAGAAAACCTTCATGCATTTACTGTGTTTCATCTGTATTTTGATAAGCCAGGTTGAAATATTTTAAGGCAATTAATTCAGATGTGTGACAGTCTATGCATAGTACTGGTCCTTTATATCATTCTTTTGCCATCTCTAATACATACAACATATTAACATCAGATTACCTTCAAAATACAAGAATAAACAATTACCTCTTCCAGTGCTTTCCAAAGCTCTTCATCTGTATAAAGGGTAAATGGATCCAAATTTTTTCTCATAGTGCCAGAGAATAAAGTAGGATCTTGGGGTATTATAGAAATATTACCACGGACGTCATGTAGTCCCAACTCTCTTATGTTGATGCTGTCAATGCGAATGACGCCCGTAGGTTCAGTCAGACGGAAGAGCGATGTCAACATTGATGACTTACCAGCACCTGTTCTGCCCACTATTCCAATCTGTAATAGACAAAGAACATTCATATTTAATTCATGGTCTCTTGCAATTAAAATGTGTTTGAAGATACAATATTACTACTAAATCCTGGGGGAAAAAAAAAAAAGGAATTTCTGTACTCTACTGCTAAGAAACTGGCTTTCTTGTGTACAAAGAACATGGTGTACTAGTAATGGACATACAGGTTTGTATGGGGCTTTTAACCCTTTCAGGGACGGTGTTGTACTAGTATGGCTTGCACGCCAGGGTTGGTGCCGTACTAGTATGCGTAAATTCTAGCGCCTTTAAATCTAGTGAGAGAAAGCTGGTTGGCCTACATATGAAAAAATGGGTCTATGTGGTCAGTGTGCACAGTATAAAAAAAATCCTGCAACAGTGCATGAGAAAAAAAAAAAACTCCAACCGTGTTTTTGATTTAAAACAGCGACTTTACAGTGTATTTTCGTATGGTATTTATGGTTGTATTCTCATTTTCCTGGTCTCATTTTATAGAATGGAAGACATATTACAGAAATTGAAATGATTTTGATTGGTTTCACAATGAAAAGTACCTTAAAATTGAGCTCAAAGTAGCAGAAATATTTGATATTTGCCAATGTTCAAAAGTAAACAAATCATGCCATGCGTCCAATACACGTCAACTGGCGAGTCTAATATTCTTTCACAAGTGCGCTGATATTATTTATACCATTTCTAGACTAATGCAGTAGTCTGCATAACAGTAAATCTTCTATTTTTTGTGAGAATAAAAATTCAAAGTGGAAAGCAAAAGAAATGTAAGAGGGGCCTGGAGACATGACTAATGAACAGAGAAAATGTTATTTTAGTGCCAGGAATGTCTGTCTTGTTTATTCTGGACCCTATTTAAAAATTGGCATCTTTTGAAATTTGTGTGAAATTGGCAAAATTGCCAATTTCTGACCACTTTATTGGATAGTTGAAATCGGTAAATGGGTGGTTTCTTGTACTCATTCAATAGAACAAATGGAGTTCTAGCGAAATAGTTATGATTTCTGTTGACTGATACATTGTAATTGGCCGAAAATAAGGCTCAAAGTGGGCGAAATCACCGATGCGTAAACATCGTTGAGACCGCTAACTTCGCGAGAGCGTAATTCCGTAAGTTTTCCATCAAATTTCATACTTTTGGCGACATTATGATTGGGAAAAGATTCTCTATCATTTCATAAGATTTTTTTTTTTTTTTTTTCCAAAAAATTTTCGACCCTGAGAACAAGTTTAGGAGAGGGCCTCTTGACCCTGAAAGGGTTAAAAGTCCTGGAAGACATGATTTTTTTTTCATATCATAATCATGAAAAATTAAGTTGAAAAAGCCTTGGAATTTTATATTTGTGAGAAGTACTAAACCTACAGGTTCACATTAATATAATCAGGGGAAGCACAAAATCCAAAGGTCACAGAAAGCATGGGGAATGTGGGTCAATCATGTCTGATTCGAGAACAGGTCCACTTCCCTGGATCAAGACCCAGGAGTCATACATCTGGGAAACAAAGTAATCAGGTTTAATTCAAGGAGAGGAGGGTAACTCCCAATAATTTTTATCAAGATCCCTTCAGTGGCATCAAGGTACCTCCCTGTTGAAGGAAAAACAAAAAAAAAAAATTTTATTGCCATAGGTTGCTTTCCATACAAAGCATGACCCAAAAAAAAAGAAAAATGTGATTTTATTTGGACTAGTAACCCAAGAAGATTAACACAGGATAATCTAGAAAGCTAAGAAGTGTGACTTTTCATTGGGATCCATTTAAGGCTCTCCATCAGCAAAAGTCGAAAGTGAACTAAGCTCAAGGTATCTATTTACTGCTTAGTAACAGGGGCAGTAGATACCTTCCACTTCACCCAGGAACTGTGTTGTCAGTTGTGAGATAAATGCACTACCATTTCCAAAAGTGTATGCATATCACAATTCCAATACTTCAGAGAGATGGATTACTGGTGCAGTAGTTACAAATTAGATATGATAGAAAGAGATGTTAAAATTCTACCTTTTCACTGGCTTTGATGCAGAAATTTAGATTCTTAAGCACAGGAGGGTCATTCTCATTATATTGTAGAGACACATCCTCAAAGGTGATGATACCATGTTCAGGCCAACCAGCATGTGGAAGCTTATCTATAATTGAGAACAAAAAAAATCATAAGGCAAAAAAAAAATTGTTTGGAAGTGCTTATACAATGCTGCAGTGGAATGAGTTTCTAGTACTACCAATTCAACTTATTTAATTACATTTATGATACTTAAAGAAAGGTTTAGTTATATCATAAACAGAGAATTAGGTGTAACTATCTCGCTCCAGTTTCATCTTAAATTCCTAACCTTTGTCAGTTTCCAGTGGAGCTTCAGGTTCCAAATGAGAATACTCCATCACACGTTCCACTGAAGTCATTTGGTTTTCCACTTCTGCAGACTGTCTTACTCCCCACTGGAACATACCAGACAACAACATGGCAGAGGAGATGGCCAAACCAATATCCCCTCCAAGAGCATCTGGAGAAAAAAAAAAAAAAAAAAAAAAATTTACACTATACCAATTTTTTAATTATGGTTCTGTAAAATGTTATAAACGTGAAAACTTTATAAAACTTCACAAGATAACTTACGTATAATCCCAATTATAATGTCATTTTCTTAATGGACAGAAGCTGAGAGGTATCCTGCATCACATCATTTTAGCAGAGACCTGTATATCTAGAGTCTGATCTTATTTTGTAAATGTCTACACTAACAATGCAATGAAACCAATGAAAATTCAACTGCAAATTTTGACCATTTCACAGGTTTGAATTTTCTGACCTTACTAAATATTAAAGGTAAGAAATAGTGACTTATCTGTAGAAGAATTTGTGCACTTTATTATTGACTAAGGTTCTAGAAAATATTGAAAGATACACTGCCCTAAACCAACATCATTTGTCTTAAATTCAGAATTTTAAGCTTATAAATAATACTTCTCAATATCTTATACATAGATGCTTTAAAGTCTATCACTACAAATTTAATTTCTCTCAACATTCTTAGTTGATAGTGGCAACATAACTTACTTGACATGCCCATGAAGCTGAAGGTGACTATAGCAATGTAGATGCCAGAAATCCAGTCAAGACAAATGCCAAACCACCGAGTTGTGCACAGGAAGAGGAACCAGGCTGAGGAATGCAAGTCCTGTGGGAAGTTGTCAGTCACTACACATTCTACTCACCAATAAGAGAATACTACAATGGGAATAAATACAGTACCTATGGTACTGTATAATTTTCAGTGAAGTTATTCAAATCCACTGGGTTAATTAATCTTTAAATAAGGCTAAATTTAGATGAAATGAAATAACCAAATTAACTGAAGCCCAGAATTCTGCTCCTTTCATTAGCTGGAAGTTGTCAGTCAAGCTAGCATACTATATGGCTCACAAATCTTAACGTAAAATATGTATACTATAATTAACAAATTTCACCTGATGATTATCAAAGTCATCCATAAATTTCTGTTGGGCCTCGAATGCTCTGATGGTGGTAAGACCTTGAAGGGAAGCACTCAGGTGCGAGAACACAGGACTACGGGCTGTAAAGGAGAAAGTGCATATGTAAGGTAAAAAAAAAATATAGCATTCAGCAGCAATATAGCCACATTGCCAGGTTCACTGTTTAATTATGTTGTCAATTATATTTATGTTTAAAATTTATATGGAAACTCACTGATGCCTTCCAGTCGTTTGACATTTCGTGCAGTGCTTAGGTAGAAACGACGCAAAAATATGAATATAATGCCAAGAACCAATGTAGGAAGGATTATCCATATGTTGACAGAAGCGATGACCACAATAATACCAATGAAGTTCAAGAGAATCTGCATGTAAATAAAGTCGTACCTTTGTTAACTAAAAAATAGAGAAAATCAGTGTGGTATATACAATATAAACAAAAATTATTGTTGATTAACTATATTAATATAGAATTAGAGCCAAATCTGACAGTATTTTATACTGGACACGTTTATAAATCAATCCATAATTATAAAGCAATCGTACCTTAGCACTTACATTTACATGGTGGAACTACTACTGTATTGGCATACTATTTATTTATTTATTTATTACAATTTGAGCACAGAGGTACAAAAACAAAAAAATACAGATAAGAGCAGCATGCCAAAGCCACTTATACTATGCATAGCATTACGGGCTGGCTTAAAATTAACTTAAGATTAACTAAGCAATGATGAAATCAGTGATAAAACATTAATGTAAACAGATTTCTATAAAGCACAAGTGAGTATTACAAAGACAGGTCATATGGTTGCTTGCATTGTTGTACATTCAGTCGTATGGAGAATTCTGTTAGGTAGTGTATTTAAAAAAATAGTAAAGTTAGATTGGGTTTTAAGTTTAACATTTATGTGATATAATTGTGAGAAACATTTAAGATATACAATTTATAAGGTTGAGTTATTCAGTATTTACATGCAAACTACCATACAATATTCTAAATAATACTAATTTGTGCATGGGCAGGCAAATAAGAACTTGACTTGAGGCAAGTGAACATCATTAAGTGTAGATGACAATGAGAAGATGAGATAATAATCACAGGTGTGTGATTACCTGTATGCAGCTACAGGAGCAGAGCTATGCTCATGGTGTCCTCAGTATTTAGTTTTCCTTCCTAGGAAAGGGAAGGGAATAAGGTTTAACTAGAACTAACCCTTCCCCATCTTCTGCATATATTTCTCTTAGCTTTCAATTGACTGACATGAAATAATATTGTCATTTCTATTTTTTCAACCATGGTAGAATTTCCTTCCTTGATAAACACTGTTCAGTTGATTCTACTTCTTTCGCAGGGCGGGGCATTTTCTGCAAAGCTTACCTCTTTTTTCTCTCAGCATCACAGGATCCTGTATAATTTTTCTTCTGAGGTTGCTGTGAATTAGCTTGGATTCTATCTTTGCCTTGCCTGTTATGTCTATTTCATAATGTTTTTCCATTTCTCTCCTTATGCTAAACCCAGAGAATTATAAAGCACCTGAGAGACAATCAAGTTTGGTTCAAGGAAGAGGCAGACAAGTTCAGTTCTTGCATCAAGGCACCTATCTACCTTGTGAGGACCCCTTCCTTACTCAAAAATCTAAAATTTCTTCGGACTACTGCTCTGGCACTGACTAATATCCACCTATTCCCTACAAATATTTATTACTATTTTCATTCAAGTACATCATCAATTTTCTGGACCTTTGGGTCCAAAGCCTTTCCAGATTACCAATTTTTCCACCTTTAGAGAGAGTAGTAATGCATCTGTCTTAGATGAAAGCAAAAAATTCTAAAAAATTTACACGTGGAATTAAATGTAACCATTCTGAAACTGGATACATGATGGTGACATTATTAATTTTATTCTCTTCCAAAAACAATAAGAATTAATTATCTTTCAACATTATATTATAAAATGTTAATAACTGCAGCTGTTTCACCTGCTGCTTATCCAAATGGATTAAGAATGATGGCCAAGTTGTCAAGTGTTTAGTGGGAAGATCATTATCAACAGTGGATTCTTATAATCTTAATAATGCAAAAAGTAAAGACTGAACATTAAAGGAAAGATTTTTGTAAAGTTCAACAATAGTGGCTTGTGTTATGACATGGATGGTTTACCCTTTCGGGGTTTCAGCCGTACTAGTACGGCTTATGCACCAGGGTTTTTGACGTACTAGTATGCATAAATTCTAGCGCCCTCAAATCTAGCAAGAGAAAGCTGGTAGGCCTACATATGAAAGAATGGGTCTATGTGGTCAGTGTGCGCAGTATGAAAAAATCCTGCAGCACACAGTGCGTAATGAGAAAAAAAACTTTGTGATTTTGGTTTAAAACAGCGACTTTGCACTGTAGTATTTTCGTATGGTATTTATGGTTGTATTTAGTTTTCCTGGTCTTGTTTTATAGAATGGAAGACATATTACAGAAATTGAGATGATTTTGATTGGTTTCACAATGAAAAGTACCTTGAAATTTAGCTCAAAGTAGCAGAAATGTTCGATTTATGCCAAAGTTCAAAAGTAAACAAATCCTGCCACGCGTCCAATACACGTCAACTGGTGAATCTAACATTCTTTCACAAGTGTGCTGGTATTATTTATACCATTTCTACACTAATACAGTAGTCTGCATAACAGTAAATCTTCTATTTTTTGTGAGAATAAGAATTCAAAGTGGAAAGCAAAAGAAATGTAAGAGGGGCGTATGGACGTGACTAATGAACAGAGGAAATGTTATTTTAGTGCCAGGAATGTCTTTCTTGTTTATTCTGAACCCTATTTGGAAATTGGCATCTTTTGAAATTTGTGTGAAATTGGAAAACTGCTAAATTCTGACCACTTTATTGGATAGTTGAAATCGGTAAATGGGTGTTTTCCTGTACTCATTCGATAGAAAAAACGGAGTTCTAGTGAAATAGTTATGATTTCTGTTGACTAGTACACTGGAATTGGCCGAAAATAGGGCTCAAGCGGGGCAAAATCACCGATGCGTAAACATCGTCGAGACCGCTAACTTCACGAGAGCATAATTCTGCAAGTTTTCCATCAAATTTCATACTTTTGGTGTCATTATGATCGGGAAAAGATTCTCTATCTTTTCATAAGATAATTTTTTTTTTTTAAATTTTGGCAACCCTGAGAACAAGTCTCAGACGGCCTGGCGACCCTCAAAGAGTTAAAAACCGAAAAATGAGCAACTGTACTATACTTTAGGTTAGTGGGGGATAAAACTAAAGTAGATTTTCAGATGCAGCTAATGTATATCCTAATTTTTAAAGTAATAATTTAGAAGAGAAAAATGGCTGAGGGCAAATATCTTCTTTGAGTTGCCTACCTTGTACATGGGATTACTCATCAAGAACAAATATGAGTATGTAATGGCCAGGTCCTATCTCAGAAATTAAATACCTATGTCAGGCTAATGAGGAGATCAAAAAACAAAGTGGGTTGGATGGTCAATATATAATTAGATGACAGGAAAGCTTTGACATACTAAAACACAGATGACAGATGCACAAGTTAGAGATGTAGGTTGGTGGGACAGGCAAGGTACTAGCATGGATTAAAAGACTGAACTAGTGAGTTCATAAAGGATCAGTACTAGAATCCTCAGAGTATTGTGTAACATCAAATGCCAACAAAGATTCACTAATTAATAATCTTGAGATTAATGATGAGCTTGGGAAAAGTGATCACAAATCACTTAGTTTAAATATATCATGGAATTACCCAGATAACTGCAATCAAATCTCTGTCCCAGATTTTCGCTTGGCCGACTTCATGGGACTGAAAAATTACCTGGGTGGGCTAAATTGGGATGTCCTGACTATGGGTCAGGTAGGTGATCTTGGTTGCCAATATGACGTTTTTCAGAGCATAGTTCTAGCTGCCCAGACAACTTTTGTCCCGAGTAGGGAAATTAGATCAAACAAAAATAATCCCAAATGGATGAACAATAGATTAAAACATCTCATTGGTCAAAAGAGAGGCATATACAGGTGTATCAAAAGAGGGGATGGGCAGTTAAGAAATCAATATATTCAATTAAAGAGAGAAATAAAGAAAGGAACAAGAAAAGCAAAAAGGGATTATGAGGCTAAGGTCGCAAGGGATTCAAAGACTAACCCAAAGGGTTTTTTCAGGTATACAGAAGTAAGATTAGGGACAAGATTGGCCCACTTAAGAGTAACTCTGGTCAGATCACTGACAGTGATAAGGATATGTGTAAAATTCTAAATACCTATTTCCTCTCAGTTTTCACCCAGGAAAATACTAGCGATATTCCTGAAATAATAGATTATGTAGAACAGGATGATAATAAACTATGTATGATTGCAGTAACTAGTGACATGGTCCTCGGACAAATAGAGAAACTAAAACCTAACAAATCCCCAGGTCCTGATGAACTGTTTGCAAGGGTGTTAAAGGAATGTAAAGAGGAACTTAGCATACCTTTGGCTAATCTTTAACATATCACTACAACCTGGCATAGTGCCTGATAAGTGGAAAATGGCAAATGTAATACCTATTTACAAGGCAGGTGACAGGTCCTTGGCTTCGAAGTATAGACCAATAAGCCTTACCTCCATAGTGGGAAAATTTATGGAATCAACAATTGCCGAAACAATTCGTAGCCATCTTGACAGGCACAGATTGATTAATGAATCTCAACACGATTTCACAAAGGGGCGTTCCTGTCTTACGAATTTACTAAATTTTTTCACTAAGGTGTTTGAGGAGGTAGATCATGGTAATGAATATGATATTGTGTATATGGACTTCAGTAAGGCTTTCGATAGAGTTACACACCAGAGGCTGTTGAGGAAACTAAAGGAACATGGAATAGGAGGAGAAATTTTTTCCTGGGTAGAGGCATGGCTGACAAATAGACAGCAGAGAGTTTGCATAAATGGGGAGAAATCAGAATGGGGGCACGTCACAAGCGGTGTTCCTCAGGGGTCAGTGTTGGGCCCGTTGTTGTTCACAATTTACATAAACGACTTGGAGTAAACGACAGGAGTAGGAGACAGAGTTTGCTTTCCTGGGGTTGGGATGGAGGATACTGTTAGCCGTCTGGATGACATCATGAGAGGTAATGGGAGCAATCCTATTATCTGTCTCAGTGCTGGAGGCAACGATGTTGGCAGACGTAGGAGTGAAGACCTGATTAGCAGGTATAGGTCAGCAATAGAAATAATTAGGAGTAAGGGTGGGAACCCTGTCATATGTGGTATTTTGCCAAGGAGAGGAGTTGGAAATGAATGGTTGTCCAGGGCAATTGGTGTCAATTGCTGGCTGGACAAATACTGTAAGGAAAA